AAACGCACCGGCCGAGCCGAGCCGAGCCGTGCCGAGCCGAGCCGAGCCGAGTTTTAGTAGTTGCCAATTTGCGCGGTCACACGTTGGTGAGGAATACCCTACTAAAATTTCAGTCGCCTAGTTCTTGTGGTTCCCGAGTTGAAAGTGCGGGACAAAAGCACTCGGACACACACACACACACACACAGTCAACCCCGCGAAAATATGAGTTTTGTACTGCTGTTATACAGTACAAAACGCAAAAATTAGGATTTAAAAGTTTAAAAGTGGAACGAAAAAGTTTAAAAGCAGTGAGAAATGAACAGCCCAGTCAAAATTTCAAGAAGGCTTCCGAATGCCATGCAGACAGTTCTAAGTAAAACCAGTCCTCGCTTCAGTTCTTTAACATCTTCCTCAGAGTGCGGGACTGGTCATGTTCACCTTATGTTAGAAGGATAGCCGTGCTATGGAGAATGTGGTGTTTGCAGACCATATCTGTATGACGGGATGGCAGACGAAGGTGTATATGCATTGCTCATGTGGGAATTAGATGAGGTCGCTCGTGAGTGCGTGTGGTACTTTCACTGTAGTTCGAGATCATTGGTGCCGCGGACCCAGCTGCGTAACGTCGCCCTTTACTGGCTTTATCTCCAGTAGTTGTCAGTCAGTGCTTCCACTGGCCATTCCACTCAGTTAATTCACAGAGTCATTTTTATGCTTTTTTGCAAATATGCAAATGCAAAAATGCATATTGTGACGATCCCGGTATGTATATGTGTGTTTTGCGTGTGCGCGTCTGTCCAGATATTTCAACTCAAAAATCAGGCAAGCTCCGGCGCCAAAATTTTGCCAGTGGGTTCCCCAGCATCAAGTGCCATCTCAGGGCTGCGGTGCCAACTCTTATGCACGTCCAGACCCGCACACAAGCGCTTGTTGGCGGGAAAATCGTTAACTTGGAAACCAGGAGAGTTAGAAAGCTGAAATTCTGCAGTTATATTCCCCGGCAACATAGGACTCAAAGATTTCAAATTCAGCCCACAACTGTGCTTGGTTCTCACGTACGGCCCCGTGAAAATTTTTGGCGGGAAAATCGCTTACTCGGGGACCAAGAAGGCTGAAAAGATTGAAATTTTAAGAGGATGTTCCCCGCCCACGTACAACTTAAGTATTTTAGATTCAGCCCCAGATGTGCAACCTCGCGGAAGTTTTTGGCGAGAAAGTCGCCAACTCGAGAACCAAAAAAGGCAGAAAGCTGAAATTCTGAGGGGGTGTTCCCTGTCCAACTACCACGTAGCTGCACAATTAGTCTCCTAAACTTTGAAGACCAGTAGCATAAATTCTAGTTACTGGGACTTCAAGCGGTCTTGCAACAGCACGGAATACTGCAAAAACGCATGATCGCACGGGCCTGCCCGGTGCGTCTCGCCAATGATTTATGTTTTGGATCTCAGTGATTCTTAGCCTACACTGGTTGTTAGCGGAACGAGCGGTGCTGCCTATCATGTGAAAACTGCTTCTTCCATAGGCGTAGCCATTCTCTGCACCTCGCTCGTTCAACGATGTGTTGCGTTTTCAACAGGAATCGTTCTATTCTTCAAGCCGACTTTTCGTCGAACTTTTTCACCGAATGCGTTTCACACTTGTTCGTTATTGCTTTCAAAACAGTGCTGTTAATAAGATGCCTTGCTGGCTGTTTTAAACAGAACGGTGGAAAGTTCGAAGTGGAGTTTGTCAAGGCGATCGCTGTTGCTGGAGAACTGTTTGACAAGTGGGAGAGTTTCAGCACATTTTCGTAGTCGGACAAAGTGTAGAGCCACTGTTTAGTTGATTCGTCTTGAATTCGAAAGCATGCAAGCCCCCTCTCATGAAAGTTCTATATTTTTGTTGTTTTTGGCAAAAGCTGGTGGGCGTGGCGCAGTGAGAAATAGCATTATTGTCATGAAGTAGACTGAGGGTTTGAATTCTCCAGTGGGGCGGCCAGTTTACGCCTACAGTTCATTTATTCGTTTCGATGGTCAGTTGGTACTGGCATATGCCAAATAGTCAAACTCGTCATCATCTTGCTTATG